AGAAGATCTGTAAAGTTGCAAAGACTAAAGTCTCAAATCCAAAGAGATATTCTTTATAAAAGTTAAGAGTCAACCACGCCTACCTAAAATGGCTCGTTCTAACATGCCCCCACATGTCTATGTCACGATGTGGGAAGATTTGCATAACGCCGCCCAAATATTCACGCAAAGAAAGAAGGCGTAACTTTTATTCTCGCTGTAGTATTGTTGTTGCCGCCGCCGCCATGTCGTGAAGGCGCTGTGTGATTCGTTGTGAAAGCGAAACTACTTTGTTTGGCCTTCCAAAAGAGGACGATATCTGCTTCGTCATGCCTGGAGCTGATCCGTGCTGGTCGCTGAGGAAATACATCAACTTCGCGCTGTGGATCGCCGGATCGGCTTTCACCGTGGACGAAGTGGAGTCCAGCCCGGGGTCGTCACATGTGGTTGCCGCAAGCCCGTCCGCCGCTGCTCACTCAAGCCAGTCTCCGCTCACTCTAGCCTGCCAAAATAATGTTCTTTTTAGCAACATCATATGACCCCTTTAAGCAAACTACTTACCCACTTTTTTAAAAAGTTAAAATCTGATTCTTTTTGTTGATTAATTATCTTTTAGATATCAATTTGATTCCATAAATTGATGTGAAAATTATATATGCAAATTAGATTGAATAAAGCATAGCCCTCACAGACCAATTACTCATAACCATTTTATAATTTATGGCCATTATTAAAACAAATACTTAATGCAGTAACCCAAAACGGTGTTTTCTGTAACCCAAAACTGTGAGATTCTATCAGTTTCAAAGCACATAAACCTGCTTTTGTTGTTACACTGTTACTTCACACAGTGTGAAGCAGGCCTCCTAATTTAGCTCACATTACTGACCGGATCAGCTTCTATTTTCCTGGCAAGACAATGAAATCATTTCACAACCAGGCTATAATCCTTAAACACTATAATCCACGTCAAACTATTATGTTGATTGACGGCAATGGTATGTGCCAACACTTATGTAAAAGGTGAAAGAGTGAAGTTGCAGGCCACACAAACCAGTTCATCAACTCATATACATCAAAAGCATATTCATCTAATTGTTTGGTCTCTGTCTTCCAGGTTCTCTCTGCCAGTTAGATGGTAAGTTGTCATGGATTTAACGACCATAAAACTATCATTCCACATATCTTGTGTGTATTATATAATTTTAATTGTCACATTGTCTTTCCTCTCATCAGTGTGTGGTCAAGCCCCCCTCAACACCAAGATTGTTGGAGGGGAGGATGCAACGGCAGGGTCTTGGCCTTGGCAAGTCAGCATTCAAAGCACCGCATTTGGGGGCCATTTCTGTGGTGGGAGTCTAATCAACAAAGACTGGGTTTTGTCTGCAGCGCACTGCTTCCAGAGGTATGAAGTTTAAATACAACTCAAGACACTATTATGAAATGATGCTAGTTGAATTAACACAGACTTTTCCTATGCACAGCTCCCTGGGTACCATTCGGATCTACCTGGGACGTCAGAGCCAGTCGGGATCAAACCCGAATGAAGTTCTCAGGACAGCGAGTGTCATCAACCATCCTGACTATTACGATCTTACCCATGACAACGACATAGCACTGCTCAAGCTCTCTTCATCTGTGACTTTCACTAATTACATTAAGCCAGTCTGTCTGGCGGCTGCTGGTAGTAAATTCGCTGCAGGTACAGAGACCTGGGTCACCGGCTGGGGAGCACTACAGTCTGAAGGTGCAGATTTGTTTGCAAAACAACAGAAATGTAAAGCTCAACAGTTTACTGTAACTGGCCATTAAAAGCATCCAAAATCGTCCTCTGATCTGTGTCACAGGTTTGTCTCCTGACAAACTGCAGGAGGTGATGATACCAGTTGTGAGCAGCAGTGACTGTGATGATGCTTATGGAGGGGGCATCACAAGCAATATGATTTGTGCTGGATTGTTAAATGAGGGAGGAAAAGATTCATGTCAGGTAAGACATCAGTCGTTCGTATGAACCTTTTTTTAGATTACAAAACCCTAATTAACATATTTTGGATCACCTGCACGCTTTACATTACCATTAACAATCTATCAGTGTTGCAAGATATTATTAAAAAACCAGTCTAATGGGCAATCAACACTAACCCAATGACCCTAGCCCAAACATTACAACTCTAAATTTGCAACGCCCAAAGAATTGATATTTTACAGTCACTGTTATGCATTACACACAACTTAAGTCACTGTATAGGCTAGTAGTAATTATAAAAACAGTGAGCTCAACCAGTGCAACCAGTAACAGTCCTATCAATGCCCCTTCCTCACATCTAATCATCTAGCAGCAGCACAGTTGTATTACTAGAATATGAAATAGGTGAAATATTTCAATGCAAGCATTTCAGTCAAATATAATGAATGCAATATTATTACATTTAAAACTAAAAATAATTAGTATATTAAAATGTAAATGAAAATTTAACCGGGTGTTCCCTCGTTTTAGTAGTCGTGGGTCAAAGGGTAAACATTTTTCTGTGTGATGGGTCCTAAATTATGGAATAGTTTTCCTTTCCTTCAACATTAGCCATTTTTAAATAGTTTTTAAAAACACATTTATTCTGTAGCTTTTAAATTAATTCTTGAATAGGTTGAAGTGGATTAATACATGATGCTGTATTTAAATGTTCTAATTTATTGTATTATGTTTTATATTTCATTTTATATATATATATTTTTTTTTTGCTTGATCTGTAAAGCACTTTAGGCCAACTTCTGTTTGTTTGCAAATGTGCCTTATAAACAAAGTTATTTTATTGTATAGTTAAATCAAAATGAGGGAACAAATTAGTGCAAAGTGGCCATGAATTAACAAGTCATGAGAACAGGTACTTAATTCGTGGCCATGATAATATAATTTTTTTCACGCATGACTTTTTGAAATGCGTCAGCATGACATCAGAGCAAGTCAGATGACATTGGGACATATTTCCAACTGGCATGCATCTTGACCAGTTGATGATTGGTTCTGCGCGGATTTTAATAGTCAGTTTTTAACAGTTGTTCACTGTATATATCCAGATACATAAATGTGATATATATTAATCTTGTGTTAATCAAAACAGGGCGACTCTGGAGGTCCATTGGTTACTAGGAACGGCTCCCTGTGGATTCAGTCCGGCGTTGTGAGTTTTGGTATTGGATGTGCTGACCCCAGATATCCCGGTGTGTACGCCAGAATCTCTCAGTACCAGGACTGGATCACCTCTACCATAGGCAGCAACCCACCTGGATTTGTCGAATTCAACAACAATGGATTCAGAAGCTCACCCAACCTCCTTTTAATTCCCATTTCTCTCACATTCTCCATCATTCCTTTCATATGCTCCCTATATCTCTCATCGTAGAGATAGTTTGAATGACAGTCCTCAGGGTTCTTTGATTAAGAGGACAATTGTGCTGTACAAGTTTTCATAAATATGTGAAGTAGGTGCATAGTCATATTGTCGTTTGTTCTTTATCTTTTTAAAAATTTACTATTCTTGGAAAGCTCTTACTCTTATTTCCTGTACACTAGTGAAGTTCAACAAGCTTTTGCCCTCAGAATTTTTGCATAATGAGAGTGGAGTTTGTGATATTTGGCCTAAATAGGAGACATAAGTGATGCTTGCAATTATAATGCATAGCTAATTATTGTCTTCACTTTGAATTTATTTTTTGAGAGACTATTGTATTTTTATTGACTTTTATTGAAAAAAAATACTGCAGCCACTTGTGTATTAAAGTTTTATATTATTTACAATAACACTTCATCTCAGGGGTTGAATAGTAATTAAAGCATGTGTGCTCTGCATTGTGTTTAGAGATACTGGTTATTGAAAATCGAACCAGTAAAAAAAACAAAAACAAAAACAAACAAACTTGATATGACTTCATATTTCTCAGTGTGACTCAAATAATTAATGGATGATCAAATAATTTATCTCTTTCATGTCCTTTACAACAGTAGACAAGAGAGATCAATCATTTAATTGATTGTATTGATTAACCATGTAAACCTTATAATCATGTTAAAACGTGAGTATCAAATATTATGCATGAAGCTTCTGAGGATTGTTTAATTGTTCTTCTCTCAGTCATAATTGTATTGCATTGCATTATGTTTTGCCCCTCACAATAAAAACTACAGAGCTTTAATCATAAAACTAAGCATCTAAATATTATTTTAGTAAGACAAATTATTGGGAGATGTAGAGTGATAATTGATATTTATATTCATTAAGCAGTCTGCTCTACTGATATAAAGACCTCAGTGATTTACATTACATCAGAATCTTTTGGCCATATAAATGTTCAAAAAACCCAAACTGCATATTGCTGCTCAGGTTAGGCCTCTGAATAAAAATGAGGTGTTTCTTCCCTTCGAGTCTGAGATCCATATTCTCCTAATCATACCTAATCAATGAGCCATAAAAGCCTGATGCAGCAAACAAAGTCAACAAAGAAACATGATTTTTTTAAAGGGGTTTTTATTTGATCTAGTCTAAAGCAATATATATATATATAAGTTCCATACATTAAAAAAGTGATTCCCTAAAAGTGAGGCCTATTCCAGAGATCAAAGTACTGATGCCATGTTGTTGCAACATAATATCCATACATACACTCAACATATAGCCAACAATGTTGACTGGAGTAAAAAGTGTAACAACTAACTTTCCCAAGATGCGTTAAGTAGTAACATACGATTGGCCTGTGTATGAAACGAGTGTATAAAATCGCCATTTAATGGCAGCAGGTGGCAAAGTGACATTCAAGTACTCAACATACTCAAATTAGAAGCATTAGAGAAGCATCGAGACATCAAAGATGAGCAGGGTGTGTACTAAAAACACTGGCAGCAGGCTAGAAGGAAAAACAAGGTGTGTCAGAGGTTAACAATACAGGGTACTGAATGCGGCAGCACTTGCTTTACTCGTCATTAGACATTTCTCAGTAAAGGAATCAGCAAACATTACACAGAAAATAACATGAGGGTGACGTTGTGTCAAGCTGTGTGTTTTGCAGGAGCCATACTTCTTAACATAACAGGTAAGATCTGATATGACACTGCAACAAATAATAGGCGAGTTCTTGTTTAATAACTTTGGTTTAACCTTACAATAAAATACATTAAAGTTGTATTTTGGTTTAAATTATGTAGGCCTATTCGCCACAAGATGATGGGACACCTTTTGTTCATTAACTTCTATTATTTTCTTTGTAACACCTAAAATTAATACCTGAAATTAATGTTACTTCTTCGTTCAAAATTCAGAATAGTAAAGTGCAATATCAGTATAATATTAAAAGTAAATGGAATTAGTTCAAATTATTTTTCATGGCTTGACCGATGAATGGTTTTCAGTCTAACCTATATTACATTATTAAACACAAGCATAATTATTTCTGATGAAAAACCTTTTGAAAATAATAAGGCTACAATGAAATTGGCTTTTGGCTTTTTTTCTTTTCATTTCTTTTCATTTTTAAAAATAAAATAAAATAAGAGCATTTAAGAGTTGTTTATGAGTCTATAATCACAAAAACACAATTTTCATGTACAGATATTTTTTCTATGTTGTAAAAACTTAAGTGAGCTCAATCACTGTAGGCCTATATGTTCTTAAAGAAAGATAGATAATGTTCAAAACTGTACAAATAAATATATAATTTGTTTTTCTGACAGTGTATGCACCCTCTAGTCTTTGCAAACTCGTATTTCTTTTCATGTGGGGAAACAAAAAGGTGAATTTGGGAAGAATATTCTGGCAGCTCTCTTAATGTAATGCAAGTGAAAGAGGACTGGATCTAAAGTTAAATGCAACAAAAATGCATCATAAAGGATTAAAAAAAAGATCAAAATGTATTTAGTTATTACGTTTTTTTTAATTGACAATCTTGAAATCCAGCTTTGCTCTTCTTTGAGAGTTCATGATAAGGGTAGCGATTAGATCACAAAACTGGTCAGAGTGACTAGCGCATGATTCCAATTATCTCCATACAGTCATACTGTTTGAAATGAGATTAAGAGTAAAAGATTTTTATTTTCAGGTAAACCAAGTCTTTAATAATATTGACATGAATGAAAACACAGATAACACGGGTCCGTGTACGTTTTGATCATTTCATCTCCTATTTGGAATGCAATAACGAGAAATGGAAAAACGGCTCGTTTATTCGTTTTTCCGTTTAGTTTAACATTTTTCGTTTGGGGTTTAAAATTCGGTTTATGGCTTCAATATTTCATTCGCACGTGTGGGCGGTGCTGAAACGCTCCTTTCATCTGATTGGTCGAATCGCTCCGCCTTCAGTACGGCCTTTTCATTCTTTCAGGCAGAATAAGAGTCAGTACGAGTGCGGCACTATAATGTCTGAAACCACCACTCACTGTTAATTACGCATAATATTTTAATCAGATTTTGCTGGAAGTGGAATTCGCTTCCCCAATGGTCTCGCCACCGATTCATTCAAGTTCGTTAACTTGAACACGTGAATTCACCTCCTTGATTATAAGCTGCCTGATTCGGAAGTGACTGAGTTAGCATTATTTCACACATATCTACATTATTGTCATGGACTCCACAAGTTATGTGACTGACTTATGTCTAAATGCTTGTGCTAGTTAATGCATGTGCGGTACTTATCTGTTGTCACTGGCAACACGCTGTCGTTGCAATATGCTGCGCTTAACGGGGGTAGTGTCGTTTCATGAATTCTGAGTTATTTACACTGTTAAGAGTTGGATTCTTCTTATGCACGTGCGCGCACTCAGCGACCAAGCGAGAGCAAGAGCGCGCCGCTTAACGCGTTTCTTTCATGGTTAAGGAAGTCTTCGGCAGCGCCGCAGTTACTTCCTCGAGTTACTAGCCTGCCTCCGGCTGGAGAGAGTAGCCGCTTGCAGTCGGGGGCGGAATTAAAGCGGAGACGTCAAGTCAGACACTTTCTGCTCCTGGTAATGACGCTCTCGCAGTGTTTGCAAACATTAACAGATGAAGCGAATTAAATGCAACATTTGCCAAATACACGGATGTTTCAGAATGTTTTCATAAAGCAACGAAATACTTTTTATACTGCTTAATACAGCGCCATCTGTTCATGAGTAAGTTCAACATTAACATATGCTATTTAAATACCAATTAAGTGGGGGCGTATATGCTTTCATCAGTGTTTTTTGAAACGTGACTCAATATAACAGTGCGACTACCTAAAAATGCTTTTACTGTTATATAAACACAGATTTGTGAGCATTGGAATAGAATTGTTAGAATAAGCATGCAACACACATCGTGCTTGTCATCACAGAATCTAACCAATGAGAATAAAGTGTGTCGTCATCAAGGCTTTTGCAGTGCCTGACCTAGG